GCATGTTTCTCAAAATAATGTGTTCTTACTACTTTCGAATTGAGACAAAATGGGACATTTTTACCACAGCTCGAGGAGCAGTGATGACGGAAAAAAAATTCTCTCTTGCCTTTTGCAATTTCAAATATGCTGTGATGGTGCTGCGTTTGCACCAACGCTGCCATTTGTAGGACGACGTCAAACGGGAAGAAATGCAACTTTGATTTCACTTTGCGGCTTTGCGGCAGTGACATCACACGTCCGACTTTTTTTTCGTCTTCTTGAACAAATCATATCAGTCAAGGGAGGCGAGCGTGACTGCGCCGATGTGCTGATGAGATGCGAGATGGCCGTTCCTTTTTGGACGCGGCGGTCGTCTCGCCACGCTCGCATAGCCGCGCTTGTCACGAGTACACGTGTACCGTAGCATGCCCTCAGGGTGTCAAGTTCAGTCATAAGAGTTATGATGCGCGTCAGTTAAAAATGATCATCCTACACCTTGAATCCAAACGTAACAAGAAATGCATGGTCATACATACGCATTTTCGCTCATGGAGGCAGCACTTCACGCACAAGACCGCGTGTTTGTGGCGCATGGACGACACCAAATGCGAATACCGCATCACCCCGTCGACAATATCACGGTGGCAATCAAGTATGTGCCGCTTTATCCGAAGCTAACGCTAATCTGTGTACCCAACAAAACTCAATGCAGCTCTGCTTACCTAGCAGGGCATGAAGAATTTGAGATTTTCTGCATGACGGTGCCTCAGCATCAATCGTGGTCTAGATAGTGTAGTCACTTGAAAGTGGCTTTGGATCTTCAGCCAGCCTACTAGCACATGTCATGCGGGGGGTGGGGGGGGTGGCGCTGTGTAGGTCAGGTTCTATGTAAATTTGCTGAATTGTCATGACATATTTTAGTCCCCTGTGACATTCTCTTTCAAAAATTGTCAAATTTGTCATAATGTTGTTTAAAATTGTTGAAAAACCGCCCCCCCCCCATGAATCACTGTTTAAAACGACCTAATAAGGTTGCTTACCTTTCATTGATGCCATTTTTTTTTTTTTTTTTTGGATTTTTTTTTCTTTCGGTACTTTTACCAAGTTGTTCCAAAACTCAATGCAGCTCTGCTTACCTAGCAGGGCATGAGGAATGTGGGATTTTCTGCATGACGGTGCCTCAGCATTAATCGTGGTCTAGATAGTGTAATCACTTGAAAGTGGCTTTGGATCTTCAGCCAGCCTACTAGCACATGTCATGCGGGGGGTGGGGGGGGTGGCGCTGTGTAGGTCAGGTTCTATGTAAATTTGCTGAATTGTCATGACATATTTTAGTCCCCTGTGACATTCTGTTTCAAATATTGTCAAATTTGTCATAATGTTTAAAATTGTTGAAAAACCGTGAATAACTGTTTAAAACGACCAAATAAGGTTGCTTACCTTTCATTGATGCCATTTTTTTTTTGGAATTTTTGTCTCTCCAGTAGCTTTCAGCAGCTGCTCTCACACAATTCTCCCTCGAATCACACATCCGCATATGTGCAATATTTATCTGTTTATTTCTCACGTCGCCACGCCGCGTTGGGGGGAGTGCTGTGATCTGGCACAGTTTGTATACTGACAGCAATGGTGGCCTTCTAATCCTCCCATGTGATTCCTTCCAGGACAGAGAGCTGCGGCCAGAAGAAATGGATGGTAAGCGAGAGTGACCAAAAATCAAATAGCCTCTCGTTGAAGTGGACTCGTGTCATTATTATTATTATCCTCCGATGTGCTCCCAGAGCTGCGCGAGGCGTTCAAGGAGTTTGACAAGGACAAAGATGGCTTCATCGGCTGCAAAGATTTAGGCAACTGCATGAGGACGATGGGATACATGCCCACAGAGATGGAGCTGATCGAACTTAGCCAGCAGATCAACATGAATCGTATAAAATCAAATAGCCCCTCGCTGAAGTGGACTCGTGTCATTATTATTATTATTATCCTCCGATGTGCTCCCAGAGCTGCGCGAGGCGTTCAAGGAGTTTGACAAGGACAAAGATGGCTTCATCGGCTGCAAAGATTTGGGCAACTGCATGAGGACGATGGGATACATGCCCACAGAGATGGAGCTGATCGAACTTAGCCAGCAGATCAACATGAATCGTAAGAGGACATCGTCAAACGATGGATGTCGAGAAAATTTGAGGACCGCCCCTCAAAAGACAGTTCAACGTGTGCACCGCGATGAGGTACATTCATTTATTTTTAATTTTTTATTTCTGTCTCCAACAGTTGGCGGACATGTCGACTTCGAGGACTTTGTTGAACTCATGGGGCCCAAACTTCTGGCTGAGACGGCGGACATGATCGGCGTGAAGGAGCTGCGTGATGCATTCAAGGAGGTGGAAACATTCATCCAATCATCCAACCATCGATTGCCTATCGCGCTTGCTCTCACTTGCAGTGGCGGGTGAGCTGGAGCCTAACGCGTCTTTCATAAATGTAACTTTCATGCTTTTCGAATAATAATGTAAAATTGGGGAGAGCATGACCGTATTTTCCGGACTCTAAGGCGCACCTAAAAGCATTCAATTTTCCCAATCCGAGAGTGCGCCTTATAATCCAATGTGCCTTATATATGGATCAATATTCAATAGGCTCTGACTCACCTGCGGCCCGAGTGAGCATAAGCGCGATACAAAATGGATGGAAGGACCCAAGAGTGGAATGTCAAAATGATTAAAAAAAAAGTAAAAAAAAGTAAACGTTTCATTTTCAGTTTGACACCAATGGCGATGGTCAGATCAGCACAGCCGAACTCAGAGAAGCGATGAAAAAGCTTTTGGGACAACAGGTACGAGTTTGTGCGTGCAATCAGAGGCCATTTCATTAGGTACACGGGCATGGTTTGCAAGGAAGTTGTCCAGAATTTTAGAAACAGCTTCCAGTGTGAAGAAGTGCCGCTCGACAGACCACGCCCTCAATTATGAATAACTCCCTGACAATGTCAATCAGAACAGAGCGTGGCTTTTTCCCTTTTCAGGTCGGTCACAGAGATCTGGAGGACATTTTACGAGACATAGACCTCAACGGAGACGGTCATGTGGATTTTGAAGGTATGAAATGACATTATTTACTTGATGCAATATTCACATTTTTAAAATGGTACATTTGGGGTTGGTTAACTGTCATGTAGAACTGTCGAAATTCGAAGAAACAACATCAAGCAATATTTCATTTTGTGTGTCGGGGATAAATGTGGCTTTCACTTTTTGCGTTTTGAATTTTTTGAATTTTTTTTTTCCCTACTGAGCTCAAATTTAAAGCACACACCGTCTGTGGGGGATGAACGTGCCAGTGTGTCTGTCAGATTATCTTCATGGGGATTATGTCACCTCAAAGATTAGCCTCCCCCCAACAAACACACACACACACACACACACACACACACACACACACACAGAGCGACAGAAGGGTGCATATTAGCTGTGAGGGATCAGAATATCAAGGAGCACTGCCTCATATATATATATTTTTTTTTAGGAAATGCTACAGTGACGTGCTCGTTCATCTGAGGCACATAAGTAGCTAGCTGCTGTAGACATTGTGTCTAAATAGCGACATTTACTGTCAAAAGCAAGACCTGAGCAGGAGTCATAATAGTATGTTAAAAAAAAAGAGTTACAGGTCAAGAGATTAAAATATTTACCAATATTTTTAGAATATTGAAAAAAATGAGCAAATATGCAAATCTGTGGGCGCGGGGGGTCGACTGTATACTAAATGCTGTGACGTTCAACTCGACCTAACACACGTGTGCTGCTTTGTCTTAAATTGGCAGAATTTGTGAGGATGATGTCTCGATGACTTGACCTGCTGACCTTTTTGGAGAGGGAAAAAAAAATTTTTAAATCATATCAAGTCAGCCCTGAAACTGCAACGCTGGAGCCCAACGGCTGGCGAGCACAGCAAGTCAACACTGTTTTGGGTGTCTTCTCCTGCTGTTTCTTTCAACACATTTCTTTGGACTAGCAACCTTTTTGTTTTTTTTTTTATATCAAGGATTTTTTTTTTCTGGTATGGTTGGTGCTAATGTGCTTGTTGAGTTGAGTAAATCTATCTGACAATACCATTTAATGTGTAGCGATTTAGACGATGTCGTCCACTGAGACCCGACGAGTTCGTGTGGATTTACTAAGCTGCTGGTAAGTAAAAAAAAAAAAACAAAAAAAAAATGGAGGTTTTCTCAGGGGTTATTTTCTAGAGACGTGATACGTTCATAGCACCAGTGGAATGGTGAAATGCACTAGGAGATATTAAGGTGGGAGAGGAGAGGAGAGGAGAGGAGAGGAGAGGAGAGTTGAACAAGGTGAAGGGCGAGGTTCGAGGCTGAATGCAAAAGCGCGGACACACGATGGCAATATGGACATCTCTGTGCGGTCTTGTCAAAATGTGTCATTTTGTTTCTGGTGCATATTCTCGTTGCCCCCACCTGTAGATATTTTCCCATTCATTGAGCGCACCTTGCAGTAAGTTTTTTTTTTCTGTCATGAAATGCCATGTAACAAAAAGAGAATTTTCTAGTTGTAAAAAAAATGTCATTTTATGGTCTTTTTCTGTGTGCATTAAGAACTCCTCATGCAGGTATTCTGAGGCAGGTATACTGAAAGTCATTTTATGGTCTTTTTTCTGTGTGCATTAACACCTCCTCATGCAGGTATTCTGAGGCAGGTATACTGAAGCAAGTTGTACAGTGCATAGAAAATATTTACACGCCCCTGTTTGAGTTTTGGTCATATTTATATTTAAAAAAGGGCAAATCATTTCAAAGCTTTTTTTTTTTTTTTGAACAAGGTGAAGGGAATGTTTAACAGTTCCAAATAACAGTCAATGTTCGTACAAAACTTTACAGCGTCTGCTGTGAAAAAAAAAAAGTCATGAAAAGCCTACTAGAACAGGGAAACTTTATTTTGGGTTAATCAGAGGGCCACTAGAAATGATGGCAGGTGTGCTGACTCCGATTCAACGTGAGTTGAGCTTCATTCCCAGTTGTAAGAGGGTGTGCACACTTGTGCAACCACATTATTCCACTTCCACACACGTTTCTTTTGTCTTCTCTCTAGGTTTTTTTTTCTTTTTTCATTGAGTATAGAAGATGTAGGTCCCATGAATGGTGGCAAACATTTTGAAACGATTTATCTTGGCACTTAAACAGGGGTGTGTAGACTTTTTATCACCACTATGTACAGCAGATTCGAGGGGCATTTTAAACATTCCATCCTGATTCTGAATATCATTGTGCATGATTATCCAGATTTTTTTTTTTTGTGAGATTGCAAAAAAAATTATTATCATTAGATTTTATAATGATACTGTTCTGTAATGTTGGTTGTGTTTTCTGCATTTCTGAATGCATTTATATTAACTTTAAGACCTCAAAATACATAAAAAATTGTGGGCAAAAGATCAGTCAGGAAAATAATTTCAGATTGGATATTGACAAGCTGCTGGGAGTCAGATGAATTCTATGAAAACAACACGGGACTGACTGTAAAATATGAAGATGGTGTTCTGGGGCTGCTTTGCTCTATCCGGCACTGGGTATATTGAATCTATGCAGGTCAGGGGCTCCCCCAGAAAAACTGAAAATCCTATTTTCTAGGGCCTCAGTCAGTCATGGGCCCTTTTCCTTCTTTTATGGTCAATTTTGTCCATGTGTGTAATTTGGTCAATCGACCTCATGCGTCAACTGGCCCCGTTTACTAAAAGCTGTTCTTTCAATTGAGTGTTTTCTACATATCAATAAAGGAGCAGTACGTGTTTCTTTATGCACAAAAGCCAAAGAAAGTTGACAAAACTATAATTTGACATTGAGTAAAGCACAAGGTATGCAGGTTATGTCATCAAATCAAGAAAATAGAAAGCTCGAAAGGGAATCCTCATTACTTGTCATAACTGTGTGAAAACTATGCATGCCGAAAGCAATTTGTAGCAGATTTTCCGGTTGAATAAAGGTTTTTATGACATGCAGCACTTGAGCGGTGTGACTTGTTCATGTTTGGTAAATTGTGTCAACTCGATTAGTAAAACAAATCACTGTCATGTTGCTGAATTTCGACCACTTTTGAAACATTCACTCTCTAGTGCCTGCTCAAATCCAGTGAGACGGCCAATGCCAGATCAAAATCCCTCCAGCGGGAGCCCTCAGCCCAGGGGGCCAGGTGGACTCATTGGCCATATTGGTACAGACACCCCCCCCCCCCCCCCCCACACACACACACGCTGTCAGCCATCCACAGCTTGAAGGGGGACTTTGTGATGGCCCTTGAGAGGGAACATTACTCTTTGCTCGGGGGACTGTCATCTGCGATGTTGACACTCCAGGGAGGGAAGAGAGCATCTGTATTTTGAAGACATGATATTGAGATAACAAACTAAGCCTGAAAGTGCAAGAAAGACACCCTCCTCTTTCAATGCCAAATTGTACTGCTAAAGCTATCGCTTGCTCATCTTTTTGGGGGGTTTATCCAATTGTATCATAACAAAGGTAATTTGGGGGGGGGGGGGGTTCGCCCCTTCCCATGGAAATCTGCAAACAAGCCAAATTGAACCAGAAATCAGAATGTTCTGAAGAGACGTTATCAGAGCAGAAAAGGTACCGCAAATCACAGGCAGACATCTAGTGGCCACAAGGTAGAACTACAACATCTTTCACTTTCAGTCACTTTCTGCAAAGGGCACTTGTTTGATGCTGGGAGTCTGAACTTTTAATATCAATATCATAACTTCACTCTAAATCCTCCCTCATTCCAAGACTCAAAAACGAAAACTCTAAAATGAAGACTCTAAAATAACCGCATGTGTGAATGTGAGTGTGAAATCAATTTTTGATTGCTGCACAACTTACGATTCAGTAGAACCGAGGCAACAATCGTGTCGATCTCCAGTGTTATTGTGTGGTCAAAGACAAACGCGGTGCAGTAGAAGCCCTCTTACGTCACTTTGGTAATTGGCTCAAAAGTCTATAAATACGCGTGTGTGAGGCGAGCGCCAGGAAGTGGACTGGTGGCTAAGCACATGTGATATAACGGTACACAATGCGCTTTGTGTGTTTCGCGATGGAAATGATCACAATTGAATTTCAGTGCATCGTTTTGTTCTTATTCGAACGTGTCTCTTTGAATGCTTGCACTTGTGTGTGCTGTGATCAGAGCACAGTACACAGCCAAATTTAAATACATACAGCCATGTATTTTGACATGCTGTATTTAACATGAAAGTATAATTGCAGTGTCGGTACACTCTTCATGTAGATTTATATACTTTGAGAAATTAGTCTTTATGGCATCTTATCCTTGCTTTCTTTGAGGTAATACTCCGGCATTTTAACTTTATACTAATGGCTTAAATACTTGAAGTACTAGTAGAGTATTGCTAGCTGTATCTGTTCTATACATCATATTGTATGTACCGTACACTGTATATAAACAATCTCGAATGAACCATACGACTGGAAGCATTTGCAAAAATTGATTAGTTATGCAATAATATATCAATAAGGTTTGGATTTTCTTCAGCATCATCAAATATTTTTGTAAATACATATTTTTTGTTTTTGATCGTCTCTGTCTGTCCGTTAGCGATGTCAGGTGTGCGCCATCAGCAGAATTAATTTGTTCGTGTGGGGGCGGGGCTTCGCTTGAACCCAGCCCGCCCAGTCTCATCTTAACCACGCCCACTCCGCCCAGTCCCAATGTCCGGCCAGTATCACGCTGTACTTGAGCAACTTTTCCTTGAGCCGGCGGGCCGCCAAGTCTAAGCCGCCCAGCGACCACAAAAGCCGGCATGTCGTTTCTGGATCAACCCTGGTGCCCCACCAGCGTCCAGGTGACCGTGCTTCAAGCCCGTGGCCTCAGGGCGAAGGGCAAAGGCGGCACCAACGACGCCTACGCGCTCATGCAAGTGGGCAAAGAAAAGTACCAGACTTCGGTGGTGGAGAAGAGCGTGGCTCCCGTGTGGAAGGAGGAAGCCGCCTTCGAGCTGCCGCAGCACGGCGCGGGAGGGGAGCGAGGCACGCTGCGCGTTCACGTCCTACACCGAGCCCTGGTGGGACCTGACAAGCTGCTGGGTCAGGCCGTCATCGACCTGGTGCAGCTCGCACAGGACAAGAACCGTAACAAAACCGAGTAAGTGCAGGACCTTTGAATTGTCACGTTGACAGGATGGATTAATGCAACCTAGTGCAGGGATGTGTCATTTAAATGCTGGAGTCGGGGCCACCATTTTTCATGAGTGATACTTGGCCACGTAGGACACGCACTTTCTAACCTGACCTGATGTATGACAAAAATGCTATTTTAAAAACCGGACAAAATGCGTGCGTACGTGCAAAAGGTTTCGACAATACATCTTTTGATGCATCGATAAAAAAAAAAATCCACTTCCCTAATCCAATGACAATGTTTGAAGCAAACAAAAAAAAAGACAAAAATTCACTCAAAATTATTGAAGTACTATATTTGTCTTGCATATCATTCCAAATCTGCAAAAAAATATTAGGCCTTCTCACATTGTAGTATAGGGCAGCGTAAGACGCAGTGTAAGTGCAACCAAGACATGTCTGCCCTCTAGTGGTGAGTGGTGATATTACAACTTAAAACTACAGCTAACAGCTGCATATTTGCAGTTTGGCACCCATGGATTTGAATATTCACGTTTTTTTTTCAGAAAAAAACGAATATTGAAAGTTTGTCGATGTTTTTCGAGGATTTTTTTTTTTTTTTTAATTGAACAAGGGGCCACTCAGAATCTGGTTACGGGCCACAAAAAAAGAAAAATAACTGCACAGAAGTCATATTTTCTTAAGGCTTACAAAATACACAAAAATTAAGGGCCACCACGCAAAAATGCTTTATGTAGGACCCCGGTAACTCAAAACACTCCTCTCCGAAATTATTTTTGCATACCAAAGAGCATCTAGTTTTACTTGTCATGTGTTTTGTGTGTTAAAATAGTAATTTATCTTCGCACTTGTATGCCGCAGAAAGTGTTGTGTTCTGCTAAGCTGGTTGTAAGTAGTTTATTCCTCCACCATGTGACCAGCAGCCTGCAGACCAGCCTCCCTTCTTTCTCACCTACTTCTTATTACCGGGCAATGCAACTCAACTTGAACCCCCCCCCCCATCCGCCACCACTTTCTTCCATCATTCTGGTCCTTCCTGGTCATTCGCCGCCGTGTTCTTTAAAGGCTTTGTTGCCATTTGGTGAGGTGCTTGCAAGCAGGGTGAGAACGCACGTTGCCCGTGAGGTTTTATCGGTCCGAGGCCTCGCATTCCTGGCTGCTTTATCAGTGAAAAATAAACAGCGGATGACCCGCAAGGTCATTTCTTTGACAAAAACAGCGCTCTTCGCCGCTGTTAAAGCTCGTGTTCGAATCCAACATGATTTCATAGAAGCTTTTATTATTGTCAACAGTCGCGTCGCATTTGCAATAACTTGGTTTGCTTGATCAGTAAAGGGATGGAACTAAAAGATGGACTTTGACATGAAAGCAATTTTATGGAGGGTGCCTATTATCAGTTTTATTACCGCCACCAAGTACCGGTCGGTTATGTTTTGATAAGTGTGGGCTTGATAGACAGCGGGCAACTTCCTGCCGTTTGTTTTCTTTTTAATTCAGTATCAGGCCGCTTATTTTCCGTTAAATATTAGCGAGAATCCTCACCAGTAATTCCTGGATAATCTGTAAATCAGATTTGCGCAACATCTGCTCAGCGGCAGAGAGTTCAGAAAATAATCTCAAACCAAATTAAATCCGGATCTGTTTCAGTTTGCTCAATCACAGTACTTGAAATTGAACATGGCACATCATAAGTACAGGGATGGCGCTACACCGGGGCTAGCGGGGGGCTATAGCCACCTCAGTCTGTGTAGCCTCAGTTAAGACGCTCCAGCATTTTATTTGATATTCTAAAATATATTTGCAAATTATTTTCTTAGTCCCCCTTTGTATGGGTCAAGCCCCCCCCCCCTTTACTACCAGGATAGAAAAAAAATCCTGGAGCCAGGAAAATCATTTTCAAATGTTGACATAGCAACAGTGTGGCTTTAGCTCTGTGAGCCTTACTAACAATGTGGCTCCGCTGGGGACATCAATGGAATTTAGCAGTTTTGAGGCGCTGGTTTGAGAAATAGTTTTCTTAAAGAGGACGCGCAAAGGAAAACCGACTTGAATTTCTTGCATAGAAATAATTTTCCTGTCTGGAGTGCCTGTCCATACATTTGTGAAACTACACAAATGGCTGCCTTTTTCCGAAAATGTGCCTGCGAGCAACCTGTTGTGAATTTTGCAGAGTTGTGTGAATTCTTTGTGTCTGGCAATGTCTGCTGCATGTGCCACATGCATGGATCAGCTCCAGCACACGACCTGACAAGTGTAATTTCAGCGGCTTGGTGATAAAGTCCTCATGGGGGCTCTTCTTTTTGTAGTAGTAGTGTGTGTGTATGTGTGTGTGTGCGTGTGTGTGTGTAATGTTTTTGGTGATGATATGAGGACGGGATATTTTCTTGAGACTTCTCAAGCTAGACATCCTGTTGCTGAAAACGCAACACAAGTTGTTTAGAGTGTGCTCTAATGTGCATCATTAGTCCAGAGAACAACCTATCAGTTCTCCCAAGTTACGGGAAGCACAATGTTCTCTCCAGCTCCACCCCGTCCCGTCTCTGATGTCCAAAACCTTGGCTGGACACATTGATGGCCTGCTTTGATAAGTTCCATCCATTTTTTTTGCTGCATGGACACTTATCATGCTGAGCCGACTCTTCTCCTGCTCACCCAGCTGTGCGCTGTGATAAGAGGTCTCCACCGGAGCAGCCATTGTCTTATCGTGACTACACGCCGCACAGGGAAGGATGTGTGTGTGTGTGTGTGTGTGTGTGTGTGTGTGTGTGTGTGTGTGTGTGTGTGTGTGTGTGTGCGCGTGCACACGCACACAAAAAGGCGAACGCTTGTTGACAAGGTTGAGTCATGCGCTGAACCTCCACTTTGCACACAAGTGGCAGATTAGTCAGCTTGAAGCCATCATCCTCACCCGGGCATGAAGTGAAAACTTCCCTGACATTTTGGTAACTTCCGCTGTGTTGCAATTGGGAGTCGCTCACTTCCCTCTTTCATTTTTTTTTTTTTAACTTCTTGTGCAGTTCGTTTTCTATCAATGAAGGGAGATTCGTGGTCAAAGCTTGACACCGTCAGCTACAATCTGCTGCTCTATGAAAGGACATCAATCGAAAGTAAAGGATTCATGTGTGCTTAGGGTACCTTCAAGGCGACATATTCAGTTTCAAACCGTTCCCAAGTGTCTTCATATTTGTGACTTGCTTTTGTCAAAATACAAAAAAAGCAGAACTATTACATTCGCACTTTGCTGCAAGATAGCATCGTGATCCGAGAACGTTGATACACGTGATGCATTTGAGCCACATCTGTTAGTTTTCAAGACGGCTTGACATACTCAATACTTGGCCTCACGGCCCGCAGCTCCAAAATACCAGAGAGACTCCCGCACGCACGCGCGCACCGACACGCGCCCGCAGAAAGCGCCTTCCTCATTTCCCCAGGAATCCAGATTTCAGTTGGAGTTGTTTGTTCAGATTTATGCTCGATAAGCTCTTTTTTTATGCCGACTCACTGATTTTGTGACTTGCCGCCCCTCCCCTCAAGACCCCTCAGAGCCAGCAGGCTCACTGTTGTCTCGCCACGTCAGACCTTATTGTCACGAAAAAAATAATAAAACAAAAGATTCTTACATTCAATCTTCACAATAAAAGCATTCGTTCAAACGCTTCACTGCTCCGTTTTTATTTCCTTTTTGAAAACTTTCCAATGGAGTCGTTTTCCATTTTTCCAGGAGCAGGATCATAGTTTCCGTTTAGAACATGGGAGGTAAAAACCTTGTTGTGCACATTTGGATTCCGTTTTTTTTTTTTCCTCAACCAAAGCACGCTCTCCGGTGTTTCGGTTAATAACGCCTCACATTTGTTATCAATCGTAGCCAAAAACAAATCGGAAGCTCAATCTTGACATTGAGTACTATTCTTCGTCTTTGTGCTCTTTTTCGTTCAGTGACTTCATTGCTTACACCAAGATATGATTCATTTTAGCGACATCATTTTTTTTCCCCTCTGTCGCTAACATTGAAAAAGATCGAACATCCAAGTGTCAGAGAGAACTGTCGATGACCTTCGAGGTTGAGTCTATGTGACATCATATGAAGTAAGGTGGCTACTAAAGCTTTCATTTAAAACCGTGACATGGCTGCCAGTGACACTCTCTTACAAAGTCAGCCGTCGATTCCTTACCCTCTTGAACTACTTTCGCGTTATCGAAAGTTTTTGCTCTTTGAATCCAAGTGGCTCTCGTGCGCAGGTGGTTCAAGTTACTGGACAAGAGCGGCAAGGCGGACAAAGACCGAGGCGAGGTGCTGGTGGACATCCAGTTCATGAGGAACAACATGACGGCCAGCATGTTCGACCTCTCCGCCGCGGGCAAGTCTCGATCCCGCTTGGGCAAGCTCAAGGACAAAGTCCGGGGCAAGAAAAAAGAATGGGACGCGCCGGCGGCGGCGTCCACGCAGGTTCTCACCGACAGCGAGGAAGAAGAGGACGGGGAGGCAGCTGCGGGCAAAGAGGAGGAGGAGAAGAAGAAGAAACCGAAAATCAAGTCTTTGTTTTCTCACAAGTCGAACCTGCAGAGGAACATGTCGCAATCCATGTCCATCCTGCCCGCTAAGAACACCCCGCTGAGCGGCAGCCTATCGTCTGGGCTCAACGCGGACGCCTCCGAAGGTCAGTGGGCTCTTTTTCGACGGCTACTGTACACAAAAAAAAACAAAACAAGGAAATTGCGAAAAAAGGTGACCATTTGTATTGAGGATTGATCTCGAGTGGAAAAAGTCAGCGTAGAGTGTCTGCTCAGTCCATATGTTGGCATGCTACTTCCTGTTTGGTTGAGGACGCTACCTTATTTGATTCTGAGGAAGAGGTAAGCTTTCCATTGTGACTTAAAAAAAAATGAGACAGGAAGGAGGGTTACACAGAAAATGACAAGACGGTCCCATTTCAGATTTTCCTGCAGGGATGGATGGATGGGACACCCTATAAATGAACTGAATTTTGCCTTTGTGTAGGTCTACTTGCCCAACTTTTACTGAGCCGAGGCACACATTTTACATTCGAAAAATGTTCCAGAAAGTATGAAGACTGAAATAATTGTGATCTTGTCTCAATTTCAACTCAAAGAGTTGAGTTACTGGGCCCGTTTAACTCATTCACTCCCAAAGACGTTTTTAAACGTCTTTTCAGACTTGGTCCAGAATTGTCTGGTACGGAATGAGTTTAATTGGACGCAAAGCCAAGAGTCGCAGGACTTCTTCTACTGTACGACTGGCATGAATTCATCACGGGTCTATCAAACACGAGTTGGGGTCCTTGTCAAATGTTCCCCTTTGGTCCCATCTTTTATAGGTAAGAAGAAATTCAAGTTCATGAAACACAAGCGCTCCGGCAGCTCGGACAGCAAAGAGTCGTCGTCGTCGTCGTCTCAGAAACGTGCAGCTGTGGAAAAGAGCAACCTGTGCATCAATGGGAGTCACGTTTACTGCGAGGAACCTTCGCCGCGCACCGCTCGCATCGGTTCCAACTTCAGTCTGGCCAGCTCGGGACGCGGCTCCATGGAGGACGTTCCGGAAAGCTCCCCGCCGTCGCTCGACTCGCTCCCGGCGATAAGGCAGCACACGCCCTGGGAGGAGGAAGAGGAGGAGGAGGAGGAACAGGAAGAAAAGAGCAACGAGGATGTGGACACCAAGGAGGAGATGGAAGCGAGAGAAGAGTCGGACGGGTCCGCTTATAAAGTGAGGATTTACGGGGAGAGGGATGAAGAGAAGGCCACGATTGAGGAAGAAGAAGAAGCGAGAAGACAAGATCTGGAGAAGAGGAGACAGGAGGAGGAGGAGAAGACGAGAAGAGAAGAACTGGAAAGAGTAACAATGGAAAAGAGGAGAAGAGAGGAAGAAGAGAGATTAGAAGAGGAAAAGAGAAGACGGGAGGAAGAGGAGAGGAAAAGAGAGGAAGAGGAGAGGAGGAGAAGGGAAGAACTGGACAGATTAGAAGAGGAAAAGAGAAGACAAGAGGAAGAGGAGAGGAAAAGAGAGGAAGAGGAGAGGCTGAGAAGAGAAGAACTGGAAAGAGTAACAATGGAAAAGAGGAGACGGGAGGAAGAGGAGAGGTTGAGAAGAGAGGAACTGGACAGACTAGAAGAGGAAAAGAGAAGACAAGAGGAAGAGGAGAGGAAAAGAGAGGAAGAGGAGAGGTTGAGAAGAGAAGAACTGGAAAGAGTAACAATGGAAAAGAGGAGACAGGAAGAAGAGCAGAGGAAAAGAGAGGAAGAGGAAAGGAGGAGAAGCGAAGAACTGGAAAGATTAGAAGAGGAAAAGAGGAG